CCCTGCAAAACCACGTCACGTGCTCCCTGCCTCCCAGTGGCCCCTGGGTGTCCTTCACTGATGGATGTGAGGCAGCGCTTTTGAATGGGACCTCAGCTGGACTCCCATCTGTGGCAGCTGCCCACTACTTTACGCAACTCAGAATTCATCACAGGGATCCGTGGCCTGAGAGGATGGGAGCGAGCTTGGCTTCTTATCAGAAGCGACACTGCCAATGAAGAGCGTCTGGGGACCCAGTGGCAGGGACTGGTGGCCTGGCTGGGCCAGGCTGATAAGCACCCTTCCAAGCTCCTTGGGGGCAGAGCTTTTGCCACTTCTTCAAGTGTTGCATCTTAAAGCGCCACCTGAATAAAATATGACCTGTTGTGCTCCAGAGGTAGAATAATAATAATAATCATCATAATAATAATAGTTATAAAACAAATGATAAAACTAGAGTAAAACATTAGCATCAGCTTCTTAGCTTTAGAGTAAGAAAACCAACCATATAAGCATTGCCATTCCTCAGCCAAGTTGTATCCAAGGCATTGCAATGAGTGGTACAGCATAGCTAAAAGCGTATTTGGGAAGAGAGTAAAGCCAATGAACTGTCTGAACAGAAAGCACAAAGTCTATCAGGAACCTGTCATGGAGAAAGTGTAGGATTGGGTTGCCAGCATCGAGTTCTGTCCAGCACTGCCTCACAAACTTGCTGCTGTCTCTGGTGCAAGGCAGTGAGAAGCTGCCCTTGCATTTAGGTAACTGTGTGTTAACTGGCTTTAAAGGGATTTTACTTGGGGTACGGTGGCCTTTTTTTACATCCCACATTATAAAAGAAGTGTGCTCTTCTGGTGGCACTGAGGAGGCCATGATTGTTAAATTTGGTGGGAACCATGTGCCAACAGTTGGGCAGAGCGTTACGCTTTATGCTGTATGTTTTTCTTCTTCTTCCAAAGATGTACTCCTTGCTGTCTGCCTCTTGTCACGTTTCTCTGCCTGGCTGGGACAAAAAGAGCAACCCAGAGCCTTGGAACAAGCTGTGACCCAACGACCAGTACAAGGTATGGTAGGAAATACTTAACTAGGGTTATGATGCTGGTTATCGTATAGGCCAGGGATGGGGAGCCTGGTGTCCAGCAGAGATTGTTGGGACTCCAACTCCCATCAGCCCCATCCCTGAAATCTACGGAAGATGGGCTAATAATAATAATCATGATAATAATGACCACTTGGTGGGAGGAATAATAAGCTTCAGCTTTGGAAGGCCTGGTGTGTGTGATCACAGCATTTGGGGTTGGACTAGATGACCCTTGGGTTCCTTCTATGATTCTTCATTCTCCTCTCCAGTTCAATCTTCTAAACTCTGACTGAATAAGCAGGATAGATCCCTGAGTTTCTGCCATTGACAAAACTGCTTTTAAGCTCATTAAAGTTAAATGATTAGAGATCCTTTCCTGCCACTTCCGAGTCACCTTCAATGGCAGCCCCACATAGAGCGCGTGGTAGTAGTCCAAGCTGGAGATAACGCTTAACTGTCCTGCCCTCTTTCAGTTCTATGCGGTGAATGCAGACTATGACAAGCTGAAAAAAGGAGCGCCCAGATATCTGAAGAGCAAATGAATCTGGGCGCTATAGTTTGGGTCTTTGGGTTTGATGCTTTTGTAACTGGATCTGTAATGGCTTTTACTCAAATACAATAAATAAATAAATAAATAAATGACTGATTGATTGATTGACTGACTGATTGGTGGAAAAGTGCTTTTTTACTGAGATGCTAACTTTCTCTCTGCATGCCATTCCTTGAACGGCAAAGATAAGGCTTGCTTTCATTGCTCTGTTCATTGGTGCATTTGACTAGTGTTATGTGGAGGGAAATGCAGCCCCTGGGCTGAAAAATGTCCCCCTCCTGCCCCCTTGGGTGTCCGGTGTGGCCTTCACGGATATAGACACAACATGGGGGAGGGTGTTTTGGCTGCTGAGCCATTGTGAGGGCTGAGGGTGTGATGGTGATGCCTCCCTAGCTGCTGCCATTGTCTGTGGGTTGACTGTGATGCCACAAACACATTTGGCAGCTAAATGTGGGCCAAGGCGCAAGCCTCGGCAGTTGCTCTCCACAGAGAGAAATGGACAGCTCAGTGGCACTCAGCCCTGGTGGTCTCCTGCCCCGTGGCAGCAAGCTGACAAGCGGAAGGAGGCAATCACCTGGTGCTGGGATGCTGTGGAGCAAGGAGAAGGCAAGTACAAGGTTTACTTGCTGGTGGGATCGCTACCTGAAGGCGACGAATATTCAGCTCTGAAGCTGGTTGATGTCTGGCAATGGACCTGGCGAGGCTGCAGCTGGTGGGTGGTTGTTGGAAGAGTTTGCGTTCAGGCTAGTGGATGCCGTGAGGCTACTCTGGCAGAGATGGATGCAAAGTGGTTTGGAAGCCTTGTTTGTGAACAGGCAGCCAAACCGAGGAGGAGTCTGGGGGGACGCTGTTGGATGGGGGCCATCCCACTCAACTGTTTGCCTTTGCCTTACAGGGATGTCCGGAGCCGGTGAGGTTTTCCCCAAGCCAGCCTTCAAAGTCATGAAGAGAACCGCAGGACATCCCTATTTACATCGGAGAAATGAACGTGAAATACTGGCAGTGAGCAATGGACAAGGCCGTACCTGAGAGAAGGAGCTTTGAAGGAAGACTGCAGGTGGACATCTGCTGCATTGCAAGTGATGGGGCAGTGGGGAGAGAGAAGAAAATGAGAGAGGAAACATTAGGCCACATTAGTCCATTGGAAGTGCTATGAAGACGCTTTGAACAGGAATGGCTTCCCCTCAGGGATTCTGGGAACTGTAGGTGGTTAAGGGGACAGAGAGTTGTTAGGCAGGTTAGGGTTAGGGTTAGGAGTAGGGTAGGGGTAGGGTTGAGTTGGGGTAGTGTTAGGGTTAGGGTTCCCTTCTTGTCCGGGAACTCTGGGAATTGTAGCTCTAGTTAAGAGTTATGGGGTAGTGGTAGGGTTCCCTTTTCAGGGAACTTTGGGAAATGTAGCTCGGGTTAAGGGTTAAGGTGTAGGGTTAGGGTTCCCTTCTTGTCCGGGAACTCTGGGAATTGTAGTTCTAGTTAAGGGTTAGGGGTTAGAGTTAGGATTAGCATCAGGGGTAGGGGTAGGGGTAGAGTTCCCTTTTTTGCCAGGGAACTCTGGGAACTGTAGCTCTTGGAGGGGAACAGGGGGTCTCCTAACAACTCTCTGCACCCTTTTCAAACTATAGCTCCCAGATTCTTTGGGGGAAGAAGCCATGAGTGTTTAAAGCGGCTTCATAGCACATGAAATGGTGTGGATGTGGCCCTGGCCTCCCTCACCCCACTGCCCCTTATTCTTCAGGAATCGAAAAGATTTCCCCATGCAAATCTCTCGGAAACAATGTATTTCATCCGGAAAACTATTTAATAAAGATTACTTTTTATTAAAACCTTTGAGTGTGTTTGAATGCCTCTTAAAATACCTGTGCAGACCACTTTCTCAGGCAGGTTTGTCAGCAGCGCTGTGTTTCTGCCAGCACCTCCTTAATTTTGCTAGCCCCCGCTGCCAAAAGAGACCCAGCAAAGAGGCTTGTAGCGGCCGTCCCCAACTTGGTGCCTTCCAGATGTTGTTGGCCCAACTCCCATCATCTCTGGCCGCTGGCTATGCCAATGGGAGTTGGATTCCAACAGCATCTGCATTGCTATCCTGTGCAAACGAACCTGTTTGCCTGGGATTTTTGGGTGGGCAGGAAGGTGAAGGGAATTTTGTTGCTGCTGCTGTAGATGAAAGTCCAGGTGGTTCATGGAGCATGCGCTGCTTTTATCTGTTTTGTATGAGCAATGTTGGATTGGTTTTATTATGGTATATTATGCACATAATTAACCAGTGCAGCAACCTGAAAGCACACATTATACTCTGTATGAACATCCTAGGTTGGTCTTAATAAATTATGTTTCTTTCTGGCCTTGTGAGTTTTGTTCTCATGGGCTGAAACATGCAGTTCTTTCCCTGAGTTGCAAATCAGGAAAATCCAAGTTTGCATCTTGCCTCTGCTCTGCCACGTGGACTAAACTTCTCCACCTGCAAAATGAATATTTTAATACTGATACCTCTGTAAACATTGCAACAGATTGTGTATGTGAAACCCTTTGAACAGTTAAAAAATGCTATGTAAATATTAGAAGTTTTTATAGTTTTGGTCTGAAAAAAGAGTCCTGGAGAACTCGAAAGCTCGTTTGCTATTTTGCCAGATTTTCATAGGTCCTCAGCTCCTGGAGGCAGGGAACTTTCCTCTTATGCTCTACACAGGACTAGGCACACAGAAGCTGCTTAATATATAATAGAGATCATTCTACCGTGGCTTCCTATTTTCACTAGAATGGCAAGATAAAAATTATCTAACAAACAATAATAATAAATCCATATACAGTAAATACAGCCATGCTAATTTTGCAAGTTGCTTTGCTTCCCCTGCCATTTATAAATATTTTTATTTGATCTATTGAGATTAAAAAGAAATAACAAACAAAAGGGTTATCCAGAGGAAAGAAAATGGTAATATTTGTTACATCACATCACAATAAGTTATTCTTGTGTTTCTAATTTAGCGTACTATTCATTTTTGTTTTCTTTTGTTAATTTTCATCAATATTATATTCTCTTATAATTATCCATCATACCACAGAAGTCATTCAAGGCCTGCCACTGACGTCATGTACAAAAAATACCTTAAGGATTACTGTAATAACATGACGTCACTGCCATTTATAAATAAATGTGTGTGTATTTATAATTTACATGATTTACATTTTACCCTTCCAAAGGGAATTCAGGATGGAAGACATGGCAAAGAGAGGGTATTAACAACAGTTCAAGACATTCTCCACCAGCGACCTCAAGTTTGCCAGGAACGATGCTTCCTCCTTTCTGCCACCAAAAGCCTGAGTAAACAGGAATGCTTCAAAATTCCTCCTGAAAGTCAGCAGCCAGGAAGGCATTGTGCAAACAACCCGTCATGGCAGCGCCAGGCGGTGCCACCACCACCAAGGCCTCGCCGGCTGTCTGCGGGGTCTGAGAGGGGGTGGCCCAAACCGGCAGGCAGGCAGGCGCAGCCGGGCAAGAACGGGTTAACTGAAAGCGCAGCTGGGCGGGGGAGGGCGAGATTTGGGGGCGGGGCGGAGCCTGCGAAGAGGCCAGGCTTGGCTTCGTCCAATGGGAGGCGAGGAGGCGATGGCCAGAGCAGGCAGGGCGCGCGCGCAACCGGCGGGGATCGATGCGCTCCCGTCTGCGGCGCCTGCAAATGGCCCGGGAGGGGGGCCGCCGCCTCCGCCTCTGCCCGGTCGGATCTCCGCCCGAGGCGCCGCCGTAGCTGCCGGCTTCCCGCGGGGGCGCCTGCCCAGAGCCGAGGCTCCTCGGGAGAAAGCGCATCGGGGGTGACGCCGGAGGCGGATTCCGGCCCCGGTGACGTCAGGCGCGCACGTGGGACCGGGACCCGAGGGGGGGGGGCGGATCTCGCTCGCTCGCCCGGGCGGCAGCAGCAGCAGCAGCAGCACAGCAGCAGCGGGAGGAGCGCGCTGGGCCCGGGCGCCATGGCGCAGCCCCTGCAGAAGTGCCGCGCCGAGTGGCAAGCCCTGGAGGAGGAATTCCAGCAGCTCCAGGTAAGGCGGGCGCGCTTGGGGCCGTTCCTCCCGCTGCTCTTTCGCGGGGGCGATCTCCGCTGCTGCGTAATCCGGACGGGGCGGAATCCCCGGGGAAGCCTCCTCCGGTGCGGCGGCAGAAGGGGCGCCGCCTCCGCCCCTGCGTAACTGGGCGCCATCGGGGCCGGGCGAGGGCTTCCCGGGGGGCCGCAAAGGCAAGCCAGTGCCGGGCGGCGGGAGGGAGCCGGGTTCGGCGCGCCTGCCGTGCTGTCATTCAAATAGGCTCCTTCTTCTGCGCGGTCTGGGCGCAGAGGTCTTTCGTAGGATGTTCTGGCTGCGCGAGGGATGCGCTTCTTTCTCCTGCTCGGGGAGCCCGCGGGGTTCCGGGGTTCCCCCTGGGAAGGGCGCCCTTTGCAGTGGCAGCCCCCCTCCCGGCGGGGTTCTCGGGGCCAGATCGGCGGGGAGGGGGCGCTGGTGGCTGCGGGGAAGCGAGCGGTGCTTCCGGGTTGCGCGCTTTAAGCACAGCAAACTGGCGGAGGAGCAAGAGGTTAGCGGGCCCGGGGTGGTGCTGGTGGCCTCGAGCAGCTACCGCGCGCTGCGGTCGGAAAGGGGCCTTCGCGTCCCAGAATCCTTTCCAATGTCGTGGCTTTGCGGGGAACCCCAGGGTGGTCGCCCCAGCACCTCCGGGGACCTTGCAAAGGATGCATCTCAGGGCTCCTTTCATAAACTGCAATCCTTCCTTTCTGGCGGCACCGCCTTGCTCTTCTGCGATGCTCTGTTTTGTTTTGTTTTTTCCTTGGGGAGCTGCAAGAGAAAGAGAGTGGCATTTTTGCACGGGGGAGAGGAGGAAGCCTTTCCACTGCCATTCCTCTCTCCCCCCCCCCCCGGAGATTTTACACATCATTGTTACAGCCAACACTTCCAAGTCAAGGGAAGAAGTAATATTCCCCCCTAGGAAAATGGGCCATAGTGATAGACCATCTTCCCTGCATGCAGAAGGCCCCAATTTCAGCCCATTGTTGGGAATGTCCCCTGCCTGAGTCCCTGGAGAGTTGCTGCCAGTCAGTGTTGGTGCAACTGAAGGCAACTTCCGATGTACTTGGGTTCTTGTTACCTGGACCAGGTTCAGAGGAGAGCAGCAAAGATGGTCATTGACCTGGAAAGCAGCTGCTGTGAGGGCAGGTAAACGTAAAGGGACCCCTGACCATTAAGTCCACTCGCGAACGACTCTGGGGTGGCAGCGCTCATCTTGCTTTACTGGCCAAGGGAGCGGCGTTTGTCCGTAGACAGTTTTTCCAGGTCATGTGGCCAGCATGACTAAGCCACTTCTGGCAAACCAGAGCAGCACATGGAAACACCATTTACCTTCCCGCCGGAGTGGTACCTATTTATCTACTTGCACTTTGACGTGCTTTCGAACTGCTAGGTTGGCAGGAGCTGGGACCAAGCAATGGGAGCTCACCCCGTCGTGGGGATTCGAGCCGCCGACCTTCCTCAGTGCCACCCGCATCCTGTGAGGGCAGGTAGAAGCAGCCAAAGGTGTTTAGCCCAGAGAAGAGATGACTGAAGGGCGGAGGAGGGGCTGTCAGATCCACAAACAAGAAGGCAAAGTCTCATTCTCTGTTGCTCCAGAGGACAGGATTGGATCTAATAGGCAGAAGTTACAAGAGGGAAGATTTTTGTTAAGTCGTGGGTTGACATAGCAGCCGGCACAGCGATTTCTTCAAGTAGCTCTTTATTATGGTAAGCTGGAATAGAACTGACTCCGAACAGCTCAGCCGGCCTGTATTTATAGGCAGCCGGCTGTCAACATTGTAACCACAACAGCTCAGAGTTCCCGCCTAAAATAACTGCCGCGGACCTGAGTGAAAACTATCTACAGACCTGAGTGAAAACTATATACAGTATCCCCCTGTTGGCCCAGGGTGAAACTACACTACATAACACCCCTCCCCACCGAGATAAGGCGTTAGTTACAATCGTAATGGTTTCCTTATATACAGCACTACGCGTAATGGTTCAAGTAAGCACAAAAGCATATCGGTTACATTTCCCATACTTAGACCAACAGTGATACCTGTCCAACAACATAGTCCTTTAAATAAGTTGGGCGCCTGGAAACTCTGCCAGACCGCCGGGGACTGGTAGCCAAGTCCGGAGGGCCACACAGTTCTCGCTGAGGCTGTGGTGCGACCCTAGGTGGTGTTGGAACCAACTCCCCTGGATCCGCTGCTGTGGGTGGAGCCTCCGCAAGTGGAGTGGTCTGAGTCTGTTCTGAAACGGCTTGGTTCGGCTCCACGCTGGCAGTTTGCGAGGGAGGTGTAGGTAGGGCCTCGCCATCTGTACGTGTCTCTTCTGGAGCCGCAAGCGCAGTTGGGGGCACCTCGGTAGTGTCCAAGTCCCCAACCCTGCGCCTAAGCTGGTCTATGTGCCGTCGCCACAAGCGTCCGTCTTCGAGTGCCACCTGGTACGAGCGAGGTCCAGTGACTCCCACTACTGTGGCTGGCACCCAAGGGATGTCCCCCACATAGTTCCGGGCAAAGACCTGGTTTCCTGGGACAAATGACCGTGGTGCGTTGGCACAGCCTGGGGGTTCAGCCACGGCAAAGTCTGGGTGTAGCCGGTCGAGCGGTGACCTGAGGCGGCGGCCCATAAGCAGTTCAGCAGGACTCCTCCCTGTGGCCGCATGAGGGGTGATGTGTTGCACGAACAAGTATTCGGCGACCCGCTCATGCCAGTCTCCCCGGTCCAGGCGCGCCAGTGCCTCTTTTGTCGAGCGCACCATTCTTTCCGCTTGCCCGTTGCTGGATGGATGAAAGGGTGCCGTTAGAGCATGGCGGATGCCCAGTCCCAAAAGATACCGCTCAAACGTGCCTGACGTGAACTGCGGTCCGTTGTCAGAGACAAGGACATCAGGACACCCATGCGTTGCAAACAGGCCTCGCAGCACCCGGATGACAGCTTCGGTAGTGGTGGAGGGCATCAGGGCGACCTCCAGCCATTTGGAATAGGCGTCCACCACTACCATAAAGGTCCGGCCGTGAAAGGGGCCAGCCAGATCGATGTGCACCCTCGACCAGGGTGTCTTTGGCGTCTCCCAGGTGTGTCCCTTAGCTGCCGGTGGTGCAGGCCTCGACTCCTGGCACGCTTGACAGGCGGACACCCAGGCAGTGATGGCATCGTCCATATTAGGCCACCAGACGTAACACCGAGCCAACGCCTTCATTTTGACAATTCCCGGGTGGCCAACGTGCAGAGCCTCCAGGACGCGCTGACGGAGTCCCTGGGGAATCACGACGCGGTCTCCCCACAGCAGGCAGCCGCGATGAGCTGAGAGTTCATGTTGTCTGGTTGCGAAGGGCTGGAACTCCGATGCAAAAGGCCCTTGTGGCCACCCCCTCCACACCCAGTTGAGCACCCGGCTGATGGTGCGATCCTGGGCAGATGCGGAGGCCACAGTGGCAGCCGATACAGGCGCTGCCGGAAGATCCTCAATCAGAAGGAGCGATGAAGCTGGAGCCGGGTCTTCCACAAATGCTGGAAGAGGGCAACGGCTGAGGGCGTCGGCATGGCCCATCGATTTCCCCGGGCGATGGATGAGCCGGTAGTGGTAGGCAGCCAGGAAAACAGTCCATCGCAGCATGCGTGGTGAGAGGACCGGTGGAGTTGGACGATCACCGGCGAGGAGGCCCAGGAGTGGCTTGTGGTCAGTGATGAGGTCAAAAGTCCTGCCATAGAGGTATTCATGGAACCTCTTCACTCCAGCCACAAGTGCCAATGCCTCCTTATCGAGCTGGCTGTAATTCCGTTCCGTCGGAGATAGTGTCCTGGAAAAGTAGGCGAGCGGTGCTTCTCTTCCATCTGGAAAACGGTGACTAAGGACAGCACCAATGCCAAAAGGTGAGGCGTCGCAGGCAAGGACCAGCGGCCTGGATTCACTGTACTGTACCAGCACACTGTCTGAAGAAAGGAGAGCCTTGACCGCGTTGAAGGCCGCCGTCTCCCGATGACCCCAGGCCCAAGGCGTCTTAGTGCTAAGGAGTCGGTGAAGAGGCTCAGCCACTGTGGCTTTGTGGGGCAGGAACATGTTATAAAAGTTCAGCAGCCCCAGGAATGCCTGCAACTCCGTTTTGTTCTTTGGGGTGGGGGCCTGCTGGATAGCGCGGATCTTGGATGCGGTTGGATGAAGACCAGAGGCATCGATAAGATAGCCCAGGAACTCTACCTGTGGAACGGCGATCTGGCACTTCTCCCTCTTTACCTTGAGCCCGGCCTCCTGGAACCTGGTCAGCACGGCACGGAGGCGCTCGAACAGCTGCTGGTGTGAGTCTGCAGACACCAAGACGTCATCAAAATATGGTACCACGCCCGGAAGCCCTTGCAGGAGACGCTCCATAAGGCTTTGGAAGATGCCAGGAGCCACACTCACCCCGAACTGCAACCGGCGGCAACGGAATGCCCCCCGGTGGGTGACGATCGTCTGGGCTTCAGCAGTGGCATCATCGACTGGCAGTTGTTGATAGGCTTGGGCAAGGTCCAGCTTAGCGAAGACCTTACCCTCACCCAGGGAATGCAGCAGGTGTTGGACAACAGGAACCGGATAAGCGTGCTGCTGAAGTGCCTTGTTGATCGTGCACTTGTAGTCAGCGCAGATTCTCACCGACCCATCTGGCTTGACAGGCGTGACGATGGGGGTTTCCCACTTTGCGTGGTCAACCGGCTCCAAAACTCCTTGGGCGATCAGTTTGTCCAGTTGTTCGTCCACCTTAGCCTTGAGAGCAAAGGGAACCCGGCGTGGCTTTAGCTTGATGGGGGCGACTTGTGGATCAAGGCTAAAGGAGATGGGCGTACCTGTATATTGGCCCAAGGTGCCGTCAAAAACCTCGGCAAAGTCTTTGACCAGACCCTCAGTCTCTGCGTTAGAGATGCAGTTGATGCCGGTGACTTCCAGGCCGAGGGCATCAAACCAGTCTAGCCCTAGGAGGCTTGGCCGCTGACCTTCGACCACCACCAACCGGAGC